TAAATTCAAAGAATTACCCGCCAAACTTTACAATTTATGAGAACCCCATTCTTTTACACATCCTCAACCACTTACCACAATAAAAGCCCAGACATTCAACTTCAATTTGGACTGAAACACTGAAAATGTTACAAGCACAACAAAAAGGATGTCCTGCGGGCAGGAGGAAGAAGAAGAAAGCGGAAGAAATGGTAGAAATTTAAGAGGAAGCAGCAGCGCAGGAAGAACTTGCATTTTATGCATTAATTCAAAAATCGTGTTCAGTTGAGAGAGCAAACCGCAGTAAGCTCTTTCACGGCACTCCCGTTTTCTCCATTTACCTCGTTTTCGTCCCAAAAAACCCCCTCCCCAAAAACCCGTAGGACACATGCTGGAACCACCGAAAAAGTTGGCAACTCTGTCTGGGGTTGCCTTACACGTGTGTGTGTTTTTGTGAGTGAAAATGCAGCCAAGCGGGTTCTAAAGTTCCTTAGACCACCTCTCTTCTCACCAAATTTTCTTCCTATGGTCCCCCTTTTTGCTCTAGGCTGTTTTTACACCTGGCGCAAAACTTGAAGAACTTCCAAAAACTTCAACTTGAACTTTAAGTTGAGGAGTTTTCCAAAAAAAATTCTTAAAAATTAATAGAAGAAGAGGGCAAAGTATGAAGAATGAGTACGTAGGGGCAAGTTTGTATGGAGAACAGAATAAAAATAAAAAACATGAAAAAAGTTTATCCAAAGCACGCAACTTGAATATTATGTGCAAAAATATTTGCGACGAAATAAAAAGTAAAAGAAGAGAACACCAAAAAAAAAAGAACTCAGGATATAGAGGAGTAGAAGTCGAAACTTTGAGGACTATGAGAAAAGAGTGAGATAGAAGAAGAGCGGACATTCCAGCACGTATGCCAAGCAATTATCCTACAGGAATTTCTTAATTTTTCCGTTAGGTTTTCATACCAGGAAGGAAATGGAAAAAAAAACTAGAAGTTGAAGACGAACAAGCAGCAGCGGAAATAAGAGGAAACTGCGCAGACTAGGCAAATTATATTCTTAGAAAAACTCAAACTCCAAAAAAAGAAAAACTAACATAGCGTGGCAAAAATTATTAGGAGCAACATGGATAGAAAAAGGATGGTAAAAAAGTTATGGAAAAGATGGTTAGGTGACAAGACTTTCGACTCCGCCTTTTGTAAATACTTCGGAAATGTTATAATGAAAATGGTTTTAAAATATTCTATATCCTGCAAACTACACATTATAAGAACTTTCCTGTATAATACCATAACGGAACTATTATTAAAACTTGCGGCTTGCATTAACGATTTTGTTTGAGGAACTTTGAGTTGTAATATCGTATTTCGAAGCTTACTCCGAGTTTACACGGTACAATTTCCCAATAAGTAAGTAACTTGGAAATATTATAATGAAAATGGTTTTAAAATATTCTATATCCTGTAAACTACTTATTTTAAGCACTTTCCTATATAATACCGTAACTGAACTAGTATTAAAACTTGCGGTTTGCATTTACGATTTTGATTGAGGAACTTTGTGTTTTAATATCGTATTTTGAAGCTTATTCCGAGTTTATACGATACAATTTCCCAATAAATATATTAAGGAATTTTTTTCAATATTTTTTCTTTATAGAAATGGTTTCCTGAAGTATTACGGACGACGTAGAGGGTACCAAAAAATGTTTTGGCAACAAAGCCAATGTCAGACAGAAAACGAAGAACAACCCAAGGGAGGTCGGTAAAAGGACATGGAGCCCAGAGGGAAGAGGAGCTGCACAGGAGTCCAGGAATGACAGACTGGAGGGACAGGACTTCGCGACGTGTCAGCAGCTTTTTTGCCATGTCCTTACTCCTAGCTACCATCTTTTTTTCTTCCTGCCTGTAGCTGGTGTTCCAGAGTTTTTGCTGTAAATATCATTAAGTCCGTGTACGTGCCAAATGGCAGTTTAATTATGGCAAGGAGTCGGAACTGAAACCATTCCACAAAACCCAAGCAAACTCCGTAGGATCGAGGAGGCACCAAGTTGGTGAGGAAAGACTCCATTACCGTGAAGTTTGGGCAGCAATTTGCAATTAAAATAGATATAACATTAAAACAGGCAACATGTTTTTTTTTTGCTTTACCAAAAAACTAATAAAAAGAACAACGAACAAAATTAAAATTTTCATTTGGCTGCTTTTATAATGAGTAGCTAATGGGGAAGAGGATTTTTTCTTGGAAGGCAGCATGCTACGAGGCATACGTGTGAATTATTAGAGCCAAAGTTAATGAAGCCGTGAAGTGAAGCGATAGATGGGAAAAAAAGAGGAGATAAAAGCAGATGGCAGAACATTTTTAAAGAAAAACTCCTGTTTGACAAGTTGATTAGATGTCAAAAAATCATGGTAAAAAGCCAGAGGAAGGGGCTGAAGAAATTAGGAGTATTTCTTCATTAGAGTTGGGAGAAGGATTTGAAACTTTAAAGTTTTAGTTGATGCTCGTAACATTCTATAAAAGCACTTATAAAATTGTTCTTGGCTATACAGAACAAGAATTAAAAATCCACAATTTTTTTAAGTTCCCTAAGGAACTACTATTCCTTATTTCAATGAAAAACCCCCGAGAAATGTGGCACTCCAGAGCTTTCAAAATAATAGTTTTATATTCGTATATATCCAATTTAGCCAAGAACAAAGTACTTCCCGAAAAAAAGCTCTTGCAATTTTCACAAATTGCCCAAATGAATGGTGTAATTTCTCAAATTAGTCAAGAATAGAGAGCTTCTGAGCTTCCTTAACTTTTCCGTTCATTTTTTCTCACTTCGAAATAAATTATTATCATTTTCCCAGTGACTACGCACAGTCCCCATTCGCACTTTGCCATCCCCTGTTGAAGTTGAAGTTGAAGTGTTTCCATCGCAGTTTTCCCCTGACATTTCAAGGGTGCTCCTGGTGCATTTGGAAAAAGTTTTTACTTCTCTGTTTTTCTCACCATTGCACTTTTGCTGGCAGCAAACTCCTTGCAACTATTATTATCAACTATTATTTTGTCTAGTTAACTGTTCGAAAAAGAGGAGCTTAAGTGATGTTGCCACACTTTGGGGCAGGAACCTGCCCTTCTTCACCACCGCTCCCCCCACAAACACACACTTGGCGAAAACCCCCCTTCCAACTCGACGCCTGTTGCCCAATTTGCGTAAACATTTATTACGCACTCCAAGGGAAACTTTTCTCGAATTATTTTCCCTCAACTATTCTGGTGCACATTTGGGGGGGTGGTGTTATGACAGGCAGGGGTGTGGGTTAAGAGGGGGCGGGATTAACTACCGGTGGGCGTGGCCATAATGCTGTGCATAATTTTATGATGATAATTAATTTCATGTTTGCCACTACTGCAAAATGAGTCCTGCGGCTAATCGGTCTGCAAATTGTACAATGGCAATGAAAATGGCTTTGAAACTATTTAGTGGGTTTCTCTTAGAGTAATTAGATTTGCTCTAATAGGATGAATAAGATTTTGATCTGACAATATGCATAGCGGTTATTTATTTATTTATTTTGGAGAGTGGAGTAAACAAGTGTGGATGGTAGAGAGAAGACTAAAGGTTCCATAAGTAAATTACCATTTTAGCCATAAAAACACCATCTAGACAATTCTTTATTAAATTAATTTATATTTTATAAATATTTAAAAATATATTTTAATTTTAATTGGTTTACGATTTGCGGATTATTTTTTATTCTCCCAAGTTTTGTTTTTCTAAATGTATGAAAGATTGTTGTACACTTTCATATTGCCCATTTATTTCTAACCACTTTATCTTGTAGAGCAGCTTTTCTAAAAGAATTTTTCTTGTTTTATTAGCACACCAGTTATAAGAAAAAAAGAAGCTTAAGGGCCATTTTGCGGTTACAACTTGTCGGGTTTTTGTCTTTTGATTTCAGCTGTCGCCATCGCCACCAAATTGCCGTAGCCTCCAACCCTTTTTTTGTTATCCAATTTAACCCCCAAAACTTTCTTCAAGATCATCCTTAGTTCTTTGGCTTTCCCCCCTCTTTCTTTTATTTAACAGCCCTTGGTACTTTAACCACTTCAATCTCCGATTTATCCACAAAGTCGATTTTGCCTTTCGCCATTTTTGCATTTCCCAGCCACGCCCACTTTGCCCCCACTTTTCCCATGCATCGAGTTTTATCGCTCAATGCTCATTATTTGCTGTTGTTGTTTTTGCCAACTATTTTCAAAGTAATTCCCTGAGTTTTGTTGTTCGATTTTTCTTGCCTTCAACACAAAGTTTCTCCAGGCAATCTTAGAGGTGGGTGAATTTTCCTACCCCTTGGGCGTTGGTTTTTCGCTGACTAGGGTTAGCTCTTGATTTTCTTATTTTTGTCGAATTTTTTTTACTTTTATTGATATTGTATTGGCCACAACTGTTGCCACAATTTGAACTTTGTTTGCTGCGGCTTTCATTTTTGATTCCCTTTTTCTTGATTGGAAATATTTTTCGCTTATTTGCATTTTTCAGGGCAAGAAGGATTCAACGAAAAGGGATTGCGAGTAATATTTGACTTTTTTTCTATAATTTTTAATGATTTTTGTGAGTTTTTCATGACCTTTAACTTTTACGGTTGAAAGTTAAGGGTTGTATAAAAAAAGGCATGAACAAATATAACGAAAGGAAGGTAAATAAGAAGTCTATAACCCTTAGCAACGTATATTGACTTGGGAAAGTTGGTAAAATAAGGATTCTATAAGAGCTGGCAAATCATCGATAGTATTATCGAATGTGATGAATATCATATTATGAATTTTTAGTTAGAAATCGATTGTTTAAAAATATATTTAGCATTTTAAGGCATATAAATCCTTTAACATTTAATAATTATGAATTGCCGTTGATCTGAATTTCAAAATTAAAACAAACGATATTATTATCGATAATTTCGATATTTTTGTTAAACTTAATTTGCCAGCTCTTTATTTAATTCTATATTTTTCTTATTTCCTATAAAATCTTACCCAATAATAGTCCACAGGTTGGTTTAGAAAACTTACCTAAAACGAGAAGAGAAAGAAAAATATTGTTAAAACTGGTAAAAATAAACTTTAGCTCAACTTGACTTTTCCGATAATTCTGAAAGTCAGCAAGCACTTGCTGCGAATGTAAATAGAATAAATATAAATCACTTTCAATCACCATAGTGAAAATAAATATTATCCAAACAAGGTAAATCAATTTAATCTCTCAATTGAGTCTGACCGGCTTGCGCCCCCTTAGCCCCCATACTCTCTCTCCCTCTCTCTTAACCCATTCTTGCCTGTCTGGGGTGGGGGGTGTGCAAACAATCTGTACCCTTCACCTGTGTGAAAACAGCTGGTACAAGTATTCCTGTGACTCGAGCTCACTTTTTCACATCCCACACACATTTGGCCAACATATGGCAGAAGAAAGCAGCCCGAGAAGCTTTAAATTACATCAAAGATTTACTCGGAGAAGAAAGAAAGAAAGTATGAGGGGGGAAAAAAGCTGGGCAGGAGACAAGCCAAGGAAAAGTCCTTCGAAGGAGTGTGTCTGTGAGCAAGATGAAAAATAAATAACAATCACACAAAAATCAATATTGACAATAATGGAAGGGTGGGCGAGAGTTGGCTATTCAAAGGCCGCCGTCGTCTGGCAGCTTCAAAAAGAATATAATAAAAACCAAACAAGTAGGCGTGGCATTTGGGCCATATGTTGCCCTCCGTTGGCAAAACTTACCCGGAAAATATATTACAAAAATCCAGAAAAAAATCGGCGAAAAACACTACACAACTTTTTTAATCAAGTGTCAAATGAAATGGAAAAATTTTCACTTTGCACTTCGTTTTGTTTCTATTTTTACAGGCAGCCTAATGACAAGTTTATTTGTTATTTGGCCGATTTCCACGAACAGCTGTTGCACACCCTTCACACAGATACTACCGCTCTAAACACACACAAACACACACACACACAACGATAGTGAGACCGTGGTGAATATGGTTTTTGTTGCCTGGTTTTTAGCGCACGCACATTCAGCTCGAAACGATGTCGGATGCTGACTGAGAGCCAAGTTAGCAAAAAGTGTCCGAGACCGACCGACCAAACAACCAACCAACCAACCGACCGCCATGATTGAAAGCCGGCTGTGTGGCAGCAAAAAGTTCTCTGGGGAGTAGGTGGTATAGGGGGTGATGATATAGGGTGGGTATATATATACTATATAGGGTAGGAAACTGAACTGGACACAACCTGTTGAGCAACAAGGACGAGAAACGAGACGAAATCGAATGGATGGCAATGACAATGTCATTGAAAAGGACTTTGCCTCTGCATTCGACCATGAAAGAAGGGGTGGTTTTTTGGGGCATATCTCCCGGAAAAAAGAGGGAGCTTCAGTGGGGGAAAAGGCCCCAACCATCCAAAAGAAAAGACCCAGAGAACTTGGTTAAGCAACGAAATGAGTGGCACACAGACAATGCCAACTGTCATCGGGATATCAATTTTTTGCGTTTTTTTTTTTGTCGTTTTCCCTGTTTTTGAACGGATATGAGGCTGACAGTCAATTAATAAACCTTCGACACTTGGCCGCCAGGGGGCGTTAGCCATAGTCTGCGCTGCCTTTCACTTTCTTCTGCTTTCTCCACGTTCTTTGTGTGGCTTTCTTTCATTCTGCGTGGGCGGCATTTGCGTCAGAGCTTCCTCGTAATTAACATTCTGTAAAAAGTTTTCGCTTTTCCCCGCATTTTTTGTGGGGAAATTGCTAAAAATGCCTTTGGCAAGCAGCTGTTTTGCGGTTAACAGGTACCTGGGTTAATTTAAATTGTTTTTGAAATCATTGTTTTAAATAACACTGAATTGCTTTTAAGGGTTGCACCTTTTTTTCTATACCAAATATTTGATGGATTGAAAATTCTTAGTATTACTGGAAAAATGATCAACTGGAAATTGTTACCTTTAGAAAGGGTTAAGTGGTACAAGCCTTGACTTGCAAAATTTATTGATTGAACATTGATTGATGTATTGTTCATACAAAATCAAAGATATGAATTTTAAATATTTTAAGTGAATAGATAAATTACTTTTTAAATTGTTTCAAGCTAACAGAATTTCACCTAATTTGTGGCTCTTTAATTGATAATTTTCGGGCTCTTTAATGGCATCCATTACAGTCCCTAAGCTGTACTATTTTCCATTTAAAACGCATCCATCATAGCCGGCTTAGTCACCAACAGCTGCCCTCATAAACGAGTCGCACATTTGTCACACATTTTAATCTAATTAAGGCTCCCCCTGGATCTACCCACCACCACCACCACTCCAATTTCCTTGCCAAAAACATGCAAATCAAACAGAAAAAGTTGGCAAATTTCTCTCTTTTTCTCTCGCCCTCAAAACTCACTCCCTAAACACTCGTTATCATTAGCTAACAACATGACAAAAGGCACAATGAGAGAGAAAAAACTATTCCCAAAACATATGTCAAATAATAAAATAAAAACCAATCAGCAACAGCTGCAGGGCATTAACAAAGTGTGAAAGAGACGGGCTGATTACGAGAGGAAAGAGACAGAGGATCGGAAGGAACAGAGACAAATGCACAAATTAGTTTGGCCAAATGAGCAAAATCAAATTCGCATTGCCAGCCACAAGAAATGTTCCGCAGGATATAAAAGGGACATAAAAGTGGGTGTGGTTGGAGGGTTTGGGTTGGGGAAAAATTGAGAAAATGGGGGAAAAAGGGGGGGAAAATTCAGTGGTTTAGAACAGTCAACAAATGAATCTCCAAGCCACCAAAGTCATCCCATAAAGTTTTATTTTTTGGTGTTAATAGTGAGACTTTATTTCTTTTACTGCACTGAGAAATATTCAAGAACTTTTTACTCTTGAAATTTATCATTTTAGTAATATATATATGTTTTCGATTTATTTTTTTTAGTTCCAAAGGAATAATTATACATGTTTTGCTTGAAAAACAGCTTTGGAAGTGCCATTTCTATGGTTTTTAAAAATTAATTTTTTTTCAAGAACAAGATAATCTTAATATTGAACAGAATGAAAATGAAATATATTTAGATTTTACTTATATTATTTGTTGCATTAATACACATAGTTTAACATATTAAGTTCTAACATTAATTTGTAATATGTTCTTTCCAGTGCAGCTCCTATTTTGGTTCACCCATCTTCTTTCTCCTTCTCCGCCCACTCGCCACGTTCAACTGCTAAAGAATTTTTCACTTCCGGTTGAGGGCAGAGGAGCGTGGCGAACATTTTTGCACTGAGCGTTTGTTCTGCTAAATGTCAAGGATACAACAATTACGGCAGCAGCAGCAGCAGTGGCAACAACAACATGGCCAGCAATCAAGGAGGCCCAGAGGAAGCGGAAGAAGAAGCAGGAGCGGATCCAGCAGCGGTGGCAAGGACAAAATGGAAACGCTGTCGCCGCCATCGAGAGAATGCTGTAATTAATTATTGTGGCGCACACATTGCGGCATGGTCGAGCATACAAAATGGCTACTTTGTGGACACTTCTTGAGGGGATGTGTTGTAATGGGTGTAAGGGGGCGGTACATCTAAGGTTGAAGGGTCTGAAGCTGCAGGGGATTTAGGTGTATTGGCATTGAGTTTAGTAAGTTTACTACAAAACTAAAGATCGATTGCCACATGCTCAATAAAATTTATGGTTGACAGCAAAGGTTAGCTGGAAAGTATGCTATGGAATTTGGTTTTTAGCCTTGATTTTCAGGGGATTCACTATTTTTTTATACATTTAGGGCATTTTCTTAGTCATTTTCCAAGGGATTAGATTTACCATCAATTTTTTTTTTGGGAAAGTATGCTATGGATTTGGGTTTCAAACCTTGATTTTCAGGAGATTAACCATTTGTATAAGGTAATTTAGGGCACACTTTTAGGCATTTTTTCAAGAGGTTCTAAATCTTTTTAGATTTAGCTGTTGAATAAAATTAAATCAAATTAACATAACACAAATAATATTTTTCCAAATAACATGAGCTCCATTTCCCAATATCCTTAAAAAAACACCCAGTCACAATTAATTCTCCGTATCACTCGAGTTCATGGGGGTCACATATCTCAACCCCCACGGAATCTATTGCGGAATGTTTTGTTATATTCCTTTCGCTGTCATTGTTGTTCTTCTATTTATAAATGACAAACGCAGAAATTTTCCCTGCATGGCGCCAAATGCCATCAATCAAACCCACAACAAAATACACGGCATTACGACACAAACAAAAATTCCCAAAAAAAAGAATAAGGTAGACGGAACAAAAATGCAAATACCCCAAAAAACAGACGACAAATGACAAAAAGGCAGGGCAGGGAAGTCAAAAAATAAACCCAGAGGGCAACGAATTCCATGACAACTGAAGACTGACAAGGAGTTTGAGACCAGGACTTGTCCGCTAAGCTAAGGGATTCCAGGACCTCTAGAGGTATAACATGTACTGGCAGTCTGTAAATTAAAAACGTTTAAAATGCGTGCTGCATACTTTTCGGGGCTGTCTGGCGAGACGAGGGATGTCACTGAAGTTTGTTGCTCCCACGGACAAAAAACTTTTCTGCAACATGTGTGGGTAGTAAACTTCGGGCCCTCAAAGCTAGTCTTCTCCTTTGTTTAAGCAGCAAGGAAAATAAAATATATATAAATATGTATATGTAATACATATAAGAAGAAGAGGAGCAGCAGGAGCATCACAATCTGACAGGCAAATGCGTCTCTCATTAAGCCAGACACACTTATACACAAGCAGCTTAAGATGTCAGCCAAGACACAGTTGGTCCTGGCTCAGAAAAAAGGAAAAAAATAAGAACCAGAACCAGAAAACACCAAGTTCAGGACCACAATCAGGACCAAGCTGGCGCTTCGAGTTAATTGAATTCTGCGTAGTTTAAGTTATACGACACAGTCATAAACTTGGCCTCATATGCGTAAAACTCAAAGTTTTTGCTCGGTTATTTATGCGGTGCGTGCACGCACTCTTTATGAGAGTTCAGTTTTTTGGGGGTT